GAGAGAGAGAGAGAGAGAGAGAGAGAGAGAGAGAGAGAGCTGTGAACCAAACAAACACGGATTCACGGTTTTTCTTTGTGTCCATCCTGGTGCTTGAACTTAGGGCCTGAGCACTGTCCCTTAGCTTTTTCACTCAGTATGGTCCTCTACCACTTGAGCCACAGTTCTATTTCAGGCTTTTTTGCTGGTTCCTTGGAGATGAGAATCTCCCAGACTTTCCTGCCTGCCTGTGCTTGATGATTGACTCCTGCTTCAGTGGCCCAAGGTTGGGGGGCTGGGAAGAGTGGCTGCTGTCTACCGCGTCTCACCCTGCTGTCTCTACCCAGAGTGATCGGGGCGAGATCCGCACGGAAGAGGGGCTGGTAAAGGGACACGCATACTCAGTCACAGGCACACACAAGGTGAGCTGCCCTGGGAAGACCCTGTGTGTGTGTGTGTGTGTGTGTGTGTCTCCAGGTGCCCCCTGCTGACCGACCTACCTCCACTGCTTTCCCTCCCCCCCACCCCCACCATGCTGTCTTCAGGTGTCTCTGGGCTTCACCAAAGTGAGGCTCCTGCGGCTGCGGAATCCTTGGGGCCGTGTGGAGTGGACTGGGGCCTGGAGTGACAGGTGAGCTGGGCCCCTGGGGGGTGGGGCTGGGTCCCCCCCTGCCTGGCCCTCACGTCCATCTCCCCAGCTGCCCACGCTGGGACGCCATCCCCACCGAGTGGCGAGATGCCCTGATGGTGAAGAAGGAGGATGGTGAGTTCTGGTGAGTTCCCAGGGGCCCATCCGCCTCCGGGGGCGCAGCAAGGCCAGGATGCCCGGAGAAGAGGGTTGCTGGCAAAAATTTGTGGGGTGAAGCCTATTGGGGAGAAGCTATACCAGCTGTAACTTGTAACTCAGTTCCCTCCCTCCCTCCCTCCCTCCCTTGTCTTTCATGTGTATGTGTGTGTGCAGTACTAGGCTTGAGCTCAGGGCTTGGACATTGGGGAGTGGGGTTCTGTGGCTTTTCATAGCCGTGGGGCCTTGGACCCATTTGGGGACCCGGAGGCTGGGGGATGTGGGTTGAGGGGCACGTGGGCTGACTGTCCCTTGCAGGATGGAGCTGCAGGACTTCCTGAGTCACTTCAACACGGTGCAGATCTGCTCGCTGAGCCCGGAGGTGCTGGGGCCCAGCCCAGCGGGGGGTGGCTGGCACATCCACACTTTCCAGGGCCGCTGGGTACGCGGCTTCAACTCTGGCGGGAGCCAGCCTGGTGCTGGTGAGCCCTGGGGGCCCCTGAGGGGTGAGGGGTGAGGTGGGGTGTGGGCTGCCGTGGGCTGTGGACCCCATGTCCTTCTCCTCCATCAGAAACCTTCTGGACCAATCCTCAGTTCCGGCTGACGCTGCTGGAGCCGGATGAGGAGGAAGATGATGACGATGAGGAGGGGCCCTGGGGAGGCTGGGGGGCAGCAGGGGCGCGGGGCCCAGCCAGGGGGGGCCGCATGCCCAAGTGCACCGTCCTCCTGTCACTCATCCAGCGCAACCGGCGGCGTCTGCGGGCCAAGGGTCTCACTTACCTCACTGTGGGATTCCACGTGTTCCAGGTAGAGCCTGGGGTTTGCTTCAGAGAGCAGAGGAGGCAGGGGGGTCAAGGTCAGCTGAAGGGTATGAGAGATGGGGACAGATAAAAGGCTGGGTGGAGAGGTGACCAAACAGGCGGCAAAGGGACTGAGGGCGCAGAGGGGGGAGGAGAGGGCCGGTCAGAGGGCCCTAGGCCAGCCACTGGGGGGGGGGGCACGGTAACCGTCAGGAAGACCGTTAGACACTGACTCACCCTGGCATCCTAGCTACTCAGGAGGCTGAGACCTGAGGGTGGCGGTTCGAAGCCAGCCCGAGCACTAATGTGCCTGAGACTCTCATCTCCAATAAAACACCAAAAAACTGCAAGTGGCGCTGTGGTAGAGCGCTAGCTAGTCTTGAGCCAAAGAGCTCAGCGATAGAGCCCAGGCCCTGAGTTCAAGCCCCAGGACCGGTACCAAAGAAAAGAAATGGAGACGCTTATTGCTCAGGGAGAGCAGGGACTCTGAGCGGTGGCACCTGCCCGCCCCTGACGCGCCCTGCCTCTTCTGTCTTGCAGATTCCAGAGGAGGTGGGTATCAGACGGGGGCCCAGGCCGGGCTCGGCCCCGGCGGGGCGCGGTGCCCCCTGCCTGCCCCGAAGGCGGTGTGGGGGG